GAATCTGTAAGGAGCAATTAGGTACACTAATAGCACCGCGTCTTTAGTCGAGAGCGTTCTTGGCGAACAGCAATTTGAAAACCGTACTGCATAACATACCACGACAGTGATATTATACAGTTTTAGTTCGCAACATTGCCGACTGTTTGGTTGGTTGTGATTAAACGCTATTCAGCACTAAGGTAATATTTAGACGGGTGTCCAAGGCGACGACACCAAAATACCATATATATTACAGGAGTCAGCGATATTTCATATTTGCCAAACACATTTTCTTAAAGTCCACATATGACTGTTAAATACCAGTTTCTAAAAGGAGGCTTTCATAAAAAAACTCGTCAATTTATCGACACAACCGTAAACTGATTGAAAGTTTGAGACAACCATGCTTTTTAATATATATTTAACAAGCAATATTTTTCATAGATAATCTCAAATTTTTCAAATATTACAAAATCAAATAACTTTACTATTTCTTTTAGGGTGTAAATATGTAAATATGTAAATAACCGGAACTAGGTACATGTAGATAGCTATGGTACAATGTATCACAATAAACAGCTTATTAAACCCAATGCTTAGATATCCGAAAAGCAGTGATTTAGCACCGTCGATAAATGCAAATTCAAACATCTTCTTCAATCTAAACACACATATTTATATATAATTTAAAAATTGTGTACAACCTACATAGCCGCTAACAAGGTTATATAGAAACTACCCTGCAAATCATTTAAAGATCTATTTTGAAGTTTGGTTGGGAATTTGATTTTTAATATAGTGATAGCTAGTTAATAAAAAATGTATCTTAATAAAGCTGATTGTTGAAATAAACAAAGCTGACGTCTGTCGGTTACAGTATGGTGTTATTAGAGGGATTCGATCAAAGCAGGAATGTTTTAAAAACTGTAAAGTTCTAAAAATGTCCATCCAATATGTATAGGAGTGTTATGCAGCCATTAACAGGAGTAATCTTAAAATACGGTGAACTTCAATTATTTATCTGCTGTATTGTAAACTTTTAAAATCCACTTTACTGTTAATTAATTTTATTTTCAGATTTGATGTTGATAGTTAACGTTAATCAAATTACAAGAGAACGCATTGTCTGTTTTGCTTCGTGCTTACGGGCCACAAACAACGTACTTTTTGTGAATCAAAGCGACAATATAAACGAAGAAAGATGCACAACAATTTCCTATGACATTTTAACACATTTTGCGATTCAAGTTAAGCAATTTTGAAATTCAATCGATGCGTGCAGGATGAAGTAAAGTTAAATTTAAAGATCTGAAAAAAATCTCTGTCGCCTACTTAAAGTAAAACAATGAAACATTGATATTTGAAGGATATTTTAAAACTGCATTGACCGATTTAGTATCTTTTATCATGCTATGTCTTGTCACCATATGTACTTATCTCCAAATGAAATTTAGGAATAGCGCCAGAGATGGCGGTTTTGACTTACTTCAAATAAGGAATTCTGATAGGCAACGTTGGAATTGCTTTCCAGCAGGTAAAAGGTTGGTTTCTTCTCCGAAAGTGACGTCATTCATCTTCTTTATCAGGATTTGTTTGTTGTTGGATTGTTTTACGTCATCTCAACAACAGGGGCATATGAACATGTTGTCAACGGAAGATGGCGCCACTCTAGGACCACTGCAACTTCACTAAAATACCTAAACCTGGACACGCTAACATGACATTCCATCGGTCACATTATTTACTGGTAACACGGTTTCATAACCGAAACCCATTTGAAGCTTAACGTGGGGCATAGAAGTAGGTACCAACGACTTTGGTCTGCCTCGGTCAGGGAAGCTCCCTATCGAGTTCATAAATGATGCATGGTAACATGTAACGAACCAGGATGGGTTTTTCACGTAAAATGATATTATAAGCCTTCTTAATCTTTTCATATCCGAGGTAATATGTTGTTAATCTGGATATATACAAAATCGAAAGAAACAAAATATAATAAAAGAATAACTAACGAAATACACCCAGGTGATTGCACCTTTAAAAGTGTGTATGGTTGATATGTGGGCTATAAGACCCAGGCATAAAGAAACAATGTATTTTGTGTGGATATCTAAAAATGAATTTGCTGTTTGTGGGAAACTTCATTACACACCTCATGCATATTCATTACTGTCTGAATCGTTTTTTGGTAAATCAGCATATGGAATGGATTAGGTTGCTTTTATTCATTTTTTTAATTCGCCTTTCTAAATACCCGAATATGAGACATTCTCCAAATAGGCGATATTCTCCTAACTGTCTTTCCTGGTGTAAATGTTACAGTCTTGTAATCTTGCTTTATTTCATATCAAGTCGAGTGACCACGCGGTAATGTCTTACTATAAAACAAATATCGAGCTGTTTAGGAACATATTAGAATCTTTCTGTGTCGTTTGTCTTAAACTGTGTTATAGATTTGAAATATTGATGGAGTTATATTATACAAAAAAAACTGGTTATAATTACATTGTAGTAATAAAATACTGAGAGAGAAGATGATTGTAACGGGAGACAAACCATCGTTTTCCACCCCGGTAGTCTTTACGAGCGAGTCGCACAACGTGTAGGAAGCCGAGCTCATGATTTCCTTGTCTTCATCCCGGCACTGCATGTGTTCATACCGTACACCGTTTCAGAGTTCAAACTCATCACCCGCAATTAACACCTCCAACACCGTCATACTTTACCTCGAATCGAATCACACATATCGAATCCTTTGTGACATGCAGTGAAATGTTTGTCATACGGTATCGTTGGGAGAATATTTCCGATACTGTATTTATTATTTGTCTTGAGCTGTGGATATTGTTGATTTTACGTCTACCCAATCAGCACGAAAGTACACTTGCGTGAATATATCAATACACGTGCGTGGCAGTATTACAGCTTTACCTGTGATATATTGGGTATAATTCATAAAAAAGGGTCATCTTAATGTCACAAATATCAAGAATGAAATTTTCATCGTGAAAAATGGCAGCGTCTCGGATTTAAACCAATGAAAAGAGAGAATACAACAACGATGGAAATAATAACCAATCAGAAATCTTTTAATATACCTGTTTGGCATTCCCTTATTGTGAGGTGTGGACGTCAAACGTCACAGATTGAGGTGCTGTCCGCAAATGTAGAGCTGTTGTGGCATTCTGATGTTTGGCTCAGGTGATTTTCTGCGTTTTAAAGTAGGGAAAAGTAATAAACAGAATATTTGATAGTTTCCTGTAAATATTATAGTATTTTGTCACAATTCTGAAATTGAATGGTTTTAAAGGTAAACCGATAACCTGTGTGTAAACCGTCGAGAACGTGAAAACTTCTAACCCAGGTTTACATTGTAGAAACAAAACGAGTACAATGTCTATACTCGCAAATTTGCTTATTTACTGGTAAATGGACTTTGATAATATTAAACATATTTTCTGATATTAACTTTTAAAAAGCTTGCCATACTTTTATCTACATGTTTGTTTGATTGTTTAAGGTAATTTACCACGTAGTTTTGAAAACGACGTCATACCCTAGAGGATTGATTGAGGCTATAATGTGTTATGTAAATATAAATGGGAGCTTGGTCAAAGTGAAAATAAACAACATTACTAGTACTATTTGACACGGATATCTAGTAAACGATAAAAAATGACAATTAAAATAAACTGCCATATTACGTATACAAGAACAAAATATCATTAAGGGATTGCCCGCCAATTGGTTACAAACCTACTGCATGAAGCCTGCTACACTCAGCGCTCTATGTGGTATATATTTGTGACCGATTTTGTTTTAAGCGGCATGACTTTTAAACACTCCTCAATCCATTTATTTATGTTTTAAAAATAAAGCTCCCGTTCATTAATTGAAAATGAATCAACAATGTTACAGCAATTTGTGTGTGCATCGTCAGTAAAACAACATTAATGGAACAGCACAACAATCTTATTCCTTCAAAGCTGTTGATGACATTTTAAACGGACTCCCAAGCGTCACATGGATATTTACAGTCATGCTGATGTGCTCAGGTCTGATGTTAGTGCTCCACAAGCCAGAGGTACCGATGCGAGGATCCCTAAATGTGACTGATGCCATTTCCATGGTCGTATAATATTAATGCTCTTCTGATCGTGAGAACGTTGAAATGCGGTCGTTTCTGGCTTTTTCGCGTTATAATCACATTAACAGCGAGTAACATATTGTTAATTTTGTCACTTCCTGATTTTGTAAAGGTGCCTTGAAATGACTTCGAAAGAGGGTTAAAACTAAATTAAAAAAGTATAACGACATTTTATTTGTGTGTCGCCTTTTCGCCTTAATTCTAGCGTGCAAAAGAGAACCATTATGCTATGGAATAGAGATATGACGCATATCAATAAGGGACAAGATTGATTTGCTACATGACATAATGAGTAAATAACATTTACCTCTTTTTCCTATAACTTGCGTATCTCGGTACCCCGACTTTAACCATGCGTACATACAGTTTGTCCCTGTATGGATATTGTGTTGATGACCTTTTAGACTATATCAAACATATATAAAAAGCTTATTATTTAACTAAATTGTACAAAACCAACTTTCCATTTTCTGTTGAAATCCCGATTGTGTGAATGTACTCAAAACTTCTATTCCCAGTAATGCTGTTTAATCTTTGTTTATGATGGTAGCTTGAGTGACGGCATCTTGGTCAAATTTTCATATTCATTTTTTGCGGAAATGTGATTGATGAGTCTCTAAATTATAGTCATTATTATAAATACATAATATATTTAGTATAACTAAACAGGACAACGTTTCTAGTGTAGTATATTGTTAAGAAATTACATCTTGACTTGAAACAGTGAATTAATTGCAGAATACCTTAACACGAAACATCTGACAAGAATGGTGGCATTTAAAAATAAAAAAAGAGAAGTAAACATTGAACAACACAAACACCTGATTTTGTAGGACAGCTTTTTAATACCTGTCCATTTTATCATGCCATTTGTTATTCGGAGTACTTGGTTGGACGTTACTGGACTAGGCTTGGGAGAGGGGGCGTGGTCTGTCAAGGTGTGGTGGCGGGAAGAGGTGCGGGGAATGACGACTGTTCCTCTAGTTCGTCCACAACTGGAAGTTTACCGTCCCTTGTGTCGTAACTTCCAGTTGTAGTTCCGTACGTTGGTGGTTCAGAAAATGCCTGCATCAAGTTTACCGTTCCTGTAGATCGAATGTCTTTGTACATATAACACACCATCACAAACATACACAGATATATAAATGCCTCTAAAACGTATGCGAATCCGGGAAACATAGAGGCTGTTGCACTGTAAATATTTACAAATACCACGACACCTAACAGTTTCGATGCCGTCTCGCCACAAGCGAGTAGTGAGAATATCTTTCCCGCCTCATCCTCGTCAACCGACTTGCTCAGAAGTGACCTCATAGATGACGTAATCATTCCTGCAAAGGCACCAATCACAACCGACACATAAACCATCCACGTTTCCCGACAAAATCCCGCCCACGTGAGCCGGACGATTTTGCATGTGATCCCAATGAGAAGTAATGCAGCATCCGGGACCTTCATGAATACCGTCAACAGGGGAAGTATAAGAAACAGACAAGATCCCATCACAGCGTAATCCACTGACAAAAGGTAGCCGTACCATGATTTCGGCCAGTTGAGTGGACTTCTCGACACAAATAGCACTGTGATGTCCATTTCACCGACCTTACACGTTTGGTTCAAGACTGATGTGAAGAAAAGTATCAAAATTATGTTTCTTGTATTGTTTGGTCTCTGTTTGAAGATCACCATAACACTATCCTTGATGTTTGAAGGTTTAAAAATATCGCAACATTCTCCCTTTAAGCCCTTGTTTTCAACTAGTTTCGATGGGAAGGCTATCGAATCGTTCATGGCGAATACTGTAATTAACACAACCGCGGCATGGATCATCACAACACAACAAAATGTCGTCAGCATGTCCGTGGTATCTTGTAAAAGACCCGATAGCAGTGATCCGGCAAACAGACCAAAGAAATTCATCGCAAGAAGTTTTCCTAACTTCTTTGTCCTTTCATCCATTTCCGATATATCAGATACATAGCTATTAACTGCCATTGTTATTACAGAACTTTTCCCAAATATTCCTTGTAGGCTTGCGCCCATTAAAATCAAAGGAATCCGGAAGTCTGGTATCATTAAACTAGGGATGTAGAGCAAGACCCCTAGCACGCTGCCGATACTCGGGAGGAGCATTGGTAATTTACGTCCGTACCTATCGCTGTACGCACCACAGAACAATCCGAGAAAGACAGCGGGAAGGTTCACAAGAAGACGGTAGTACATCAGATAGCTTCCAGCGATAGCCTGCACGTTGTTCTCGTGCTCGGGATATTGGTCAAGGTCGAAGCAGATAGAGGCGTTATGAGGAAAGGTTTCTTGACACACTGCCTTCACGATATATGGACGGGTAGTGGCGTCAAGCATTGATTCTCCCGTCTTGTATAGAAAGAAAATAAGTTCCACCACCATCATGTCGTACGAGCAACAGTTGTCGTCCATCCTGATGTTTAGGCTTTCCACTTCCGGTTCCGGTTCTGTAAGCTACACCTGTAAAGATAGATTAGAATAATCTTAAATAACTTGTACTTTATAAAACAAAAATGAGCGAGTATTTTACGGAAATCAGTAGGAAACTGCATTCGGCACATAAGTCGACAAATCATAATGATAGATGGCTATGACATTACTAACAAATATACGCACAGAATAGAATTATGGATTGTACACATACATTAATTATTTATTATTATTTTACTTGCATTAAAATGAGCTTGTCAACAGAGCGAATTTCTGAATATCTTTTGTTTCCTTGAATAAGAAGCATTCTGTGGGTATTGATGAATCAATACATGTCCCCTACCGGCCCCCCAAACTTTAACCTTCAGATTTTGGCCAAGATAGTTAAGTTGAAAAACATGTGAAAAATTCAAAATATTTTTTTTTTTTTCGATTGTCATTAAATAACATTAATGCTAGACGCCTACAGAACCTCTGTACATAAAATCAGCATCCTAACACTATTATTAAGTGAATGGTGAGCCATTTTTTTTTTTTATTCAATTTTTCATTTTTATAAACAACACATTTACACACAAAGCAACAAGCATACATTACGTTGATTACAATTCCCTTCACAACGGACACCTCTTTACAACAGACCAATTATATACTGTACACATATACACATACACACTTCTTTATAGTATAATGATAATTGTTCACATTATTTTATAAGAGAAGCCATTTTTCTACTTTATTAAGCAAGACTATATTATTTTTGCAGTTTTTATGCTTAATTATCAATATCTTATGAGATTTAAGTTAAAAAAGAATGTGATTCTTTAAACTTGAATGGTGAGCCATTACAAAACTTTAACCCAAACTTTAACCTGCAGATTTTGGCCAAGATAGTTAAGTCCAAAACATGTCAAAATTAAAAAAATACTAAAATTATTTTTCCACTTTCACTAAAAAATAAAATTATGCTAGACCTCTACAGAACCTTTATGCAAAGATTCAGCATACTAACATCATTATTAAGCGAATGGTAAGCCATTACAAAACTTTAACCAATCCTTAACCAAAGGTAACGGACGAACACACGACGAACGGACGGACGCAGACAAAACCTAAAGCCCTCCCCGGTTTCACCGGTAGGGGACTAAAAAGGGGTTTACAACAGGGGATTATTAACCTTTCATATTTTTTTCTTTCTGAAAATACCAAGTATATGTACCAGTACAAAAATCCCAACAATGAGTTCAAGTGGTCTATTTGAATTAGAATATATATTTAACCCAATTTACATCAGTAAAATCCATATATTTGCGCTGTTTACTTTGTGAATATATTATCGGTAGCTCGAATATCCAATTCCTTTAATCACGGCGCTATCAGTTTGACAGCAATTAGCACATTTTTCAGTGTTAAGAAGATCGTGTGCCCTCATTATCAATAGCGATATTACGAATTATCGAAAACCAATAACAGATTAACCTGTCATGATAACACAGTCCAGTCGGAACATTTAGAACACCTCGACACATTTCAACCACCTTTCATCGTACAATAACCGGAGTGAATCGGTCGAGGAGCTCCAAATGTGTCCTCCAATAATGGGTGAATTACAAAAGATAATAGTTTCGACCAAATAAAATACAATGTATTGAGAAATTTAATATTTCACCGTTATGAAATTTTAGATAAATCAATGATACTAAAAATGGTAACTAAACGAAACAATATTCTCTACAAATGCGTGTAAGTAACAAATTGATAATTAAGTAGGAAACACTTTCAAAATGTTTTCCTATAAAACTAAATCGACGTTACTTATTGTATAAATAGTTAGTGTAATGTGATCGATATATCATAACTCATAGCGAGAAAAAGGGAATAAAAGAGAAACAGAACAACAAAACAGGATATATACATGTACGTAAAGAAAAGTCTCATTCGTTAAATGAAACCTTAAATGAATTGACGATGAAAAGTTTAAGAAAATACATGAAATGATACTGAGCTGTACTCGTTACGATATTAAGTGTTTCCAGTAGAGAGAGGGTACAATTATACCGACCTTACATTACAAATACCTACTCTTTACTGAACTGTACACTAATGACAAGACCAACCATACATTATGTAAGAAGACTGAGATAGGCTTAGCCTTTTGTCAGATTCTTTTGTCAATACTGTACTATCATCTGATTTAATACATACAAATTACATGTTTGCATGATATATGCCTTGTCGATAAAAGACGTTTGAATTGAAAAAAAAACCCAACTCAACATTAATCAAACCAATCCCTCAGCAGGACCTGTCGACGAAACTGTCATTTCTTACCGAAGAGGAACACAACAGATCCGTGAATTTAATCCCAAGCATCAAACCAAAAGTCACCACATTTCACTGAAAAATAAACCTTCAAGTTATCACTCTTTAAAGAACGATTTTCATTTCCTTTTCGTCAATCAGAACTCGATTGTTCAATCTTAGTTCACATATGGTCATGAAGGCTGTCTGTTTCCACAATATCCAGAAAGCGCGGTCTCGACTATTAAATGGGTAGTTAGCCACTCAATCAAATTCTGCTAACCAACCGTAAAAATCACGTAATTATGAATAGCTCTCCGAACGTCGCGTGGACCCAAAGTCTAACTTGCTGGAATAATCAATGGATTGTTTTGGAGCTTTGAGCCCCCTCCTTCAGCATCGTTATGCAAATGAACCTGTGTTGGCGGTCTGACTGCGAATCAACATCAACCTTTTCCTAGTATTCATGCAAAAAATATTTACATACCAGTTTACGACATTAATCCAAATGAAATTCATTCTCCGCGAGTCTTGACTGTATTGCTTAATTCCATCAAAATCAAAATTTAAAACTGTTCTCATTCTATGTCCTTGTTAGGAGTATTATAAGTCCAGCTAGTCTGTGAGCGTCATTATTGAAGGACATTGATAATTTCCTCTGCTTCAATGATGTTGTAACGCGAGAGGTGGAGAGTGGCGTCTGCATTGCCCTGAAGAACAACACTTATCTGAGACTAGAGTCGACGGTTAGTGTTAACCACCTTTTGATGAACAGAATTATTATTGCAGATAGGGACGGGAATGCTTTCTACAGCAACCCCACTATACGGGACCGCTATCACAGGATAAAGCAACGTTTATTGTCAGCTTAGCATTTGTCAATATCTCTGAATCGATTAGTAGATTGTGTTGTATCGCCGGCCTTTCGTAATGTACGGAGTCTAAAGAAAAAGGCAGCAAGTTTTGATAATTGAGAGGAAGAGATATTTAAATAAATACATTGTTTATTCAATTAGATTGTAAATAATGGTACTATTTTTTTCGAAACAATCATTAAATCGATTCATCTGAATTTTAATTGGCTTTACCCATTAGTTTGTCAGGTAGCTTGTCATTTAGTAGAGGTTATTGATTAGATCAAAGGATCTATTGCAAATTAATTAATGTGACCCTGTACCGTAAATTCTTAGTTGGTTCCTAGTTCCGGTTAAGATAAACGGAACTAGGAACCATACCCTAGTTCCGTGTAATTTTGAAATAACACTGTCAATAGAACTCCGACCAAAATACTAGGTCTGTTTCAGAAAAACATCATAGCAAGCCTCCCATAATCGACTGAGAACTCAAATCTGAATCCATTACAGGAATCGAACCCACAACCTATCACACGAAAATTAAGACTACCATAGCCTCTATAAAGTAATTGGCATGATACGGAACTGAGTGTCAGACTCCAGTTACGTTTTTCCTTAAACGTAACGGGGAACCAGACCCCAGTTCCGTATTGTAAACGTATATGTTTTTCGTAATTCTTTCCAAGACGAAAGTTCAAAGGTGTTGGTTATAACAGAATCCATTACAGTAATCGAACCCACAACCTTTCACACGAAAATTAAGACTACCATAGCCTCTATAAAGTAATTGGTCTGACACGGAACTGACATTCAAACTCCAGTTACGTTTTTGCTCCAACGCAACTGGGATCCAGACCCCAGATCCGTTTAACATTAACGGAACTAGGAACCAGACCCTAGTTTCGTTTAACATAAACAGAACTGGGAACCAGACCGTGGTCCGTATAGTAAACTATATGTTTTTTTTTTGTAATTCTTTCCCTGTCTACTTCCTAAAACGGAAAGGCAAAGGTCCGTAGTTATATCTGAATCAAGGACAGGAATCAGTGTCAGACTCCAGTTACGTTTTTCCTTAACGGAACTGGGAACCAGACCCCAGTTCCGTATAGTAAACGTTTGTTTTTCGTAATTCTTTCACTGTTCACCTCGCAAAACGAAAGTTTAGAGGTGTTGGTTATATCTGAATCCAGTACAGTAATCGAACCCACAACCTTTCACACGAAAATTAAAACTACCATAGCCTCTATAATGTAATTGGTCTGATATCTGAGATCTGATATCAAAATCCAGTTACGTTTTCTCTTAAACGTAACTCGGAACCAGACCTCAGTTCCGTATAGTAAACGTACATTGTATGTTTTTTTTTTTAATTCATTCACTGTCTACCTCGCAAAACGCGATTTCGAGCATAGAAATATCCTTATCCACATCTTTAGTCACTTTTTTTAATTACTAGAGTCAAACTTAGATCTGAAACTTACTTGTGAAACTTTCCAATTTAGCTTTACCACGTTTAGTTATCCTACGTGTACTGGCTCTATCTATTTTTTCTACATAGACAGCTCAAATATGATATAAAAAAAGTTTGAAATTACATATTGGAATTAAGCTGAAGTACGAGCTTTGTTTATGGGCACCTTTATTTTGAATAGTCACTGATTAGATAAAAACCGTTACAATTGTCTATTTCAATGGTTATTCGTATTTTCAGCTGTATTTTTTTTATTCACATTTTTCGGCACTTACACCGGTGGTGCAAGGAACTCTCTCTGGCAGGTGACAAAAAGAGTGAAACTTACATCATACCTTTTGCATAAAACAGAAAGATTTTGGGAACATTTTCAACTTTACTAACGATCAGCATTCAACTCTTTT